CACTGGGTCCAGAGAATCCAGAATTTCTCTTTAGTCCACCACTGAGTATTTTTCCATATTTCAGAACCTCAGTGTTTGCCTACCATGCCTTCATGTTCCCCTCTGCACCTAATCTTTTAGAAGTTTATCCTACCACAAAATGTTTTTTTCTATGATCTAACCAACACTAGCCTTCATGTGCCCATAATATTAATATTTTACATGTCAATTAGTTCAAGAGACTTGGAATAATTTATTTTTAATGCATGATAACACTACAATTATCCTTAAGTATTTTGTTTCCAAGCCTTTTTTTCGCATCTTCATTCATTTCTTCATAGGAAAGAAATTTTAAAATCCTCATGCTAACTACAAAGATTTATTAATAAGACTCTGTTATTAAGTCTTCATATTTTATTCAAAATCTGTTACAAATCTTATTTCATAAGCTTAATTCCCAATTGGCTCCCATATAGGACTGATTGCACACAAGAGCACATTGAGTAAAACTGCAATTGCTCTCGCTTTTTCACCCTTTCCTTCTAAGCACTTTTGGACAGAGGGGGGGAAAAAAAAGAAGGAACGACAAACAGCATTTCCCCGTTAAAATCAAATCCTACCAAGCCTAATTAGCAGCTCTGGGGGTCAGATTTAATTTACAATTCAAGAGTCCCGTGACAATAGCAGAGTCTGCCTAGGACAGAAGCTAGGACAATATTATACTCGGTATCATTTTTTACAGTTGACACCAGAGCAACAAATAAGTCACACTAAGAAATGCATTCATTGCCTTCCCCCAGGGGAGGACGTGTCATAAACTAGTTGCAACAGTAATTGGGCTCATGACAGAAAAATAATATTTTCAGAGGAAGAACCATGCAGGTAAATGTAACCCAAGGGGCATTCGCTGTTCACAGTGACAAATTATTTTCCAGACATTTATTACTCCTACATCTAAGACAGTGCAGGACTTAAAAGCAGAGCAATGCGATAAGCAGCTTTAAGTGCCCTACTGGACAGCATAAAATATCTAAAAGCTCGGCTGGTGTATATTTTCTTCTTCTTCCCTCACTTGTCCTGTCTGAATGGGGTCGCTGTGGCTTATATATTTCAGGTTTTTAAAATAGGATGAACCACTTAGCTTTTAGGCCTTTTCCCCACTAAGATAACTGGGACCTTTCCCAGAGAAGAAAGTAGCAACCAGCGCCGTGTAAAAGCACCGTTAGAGATGCCCATCCGCTGTCCACCGTCTTAATAAGGAAAACGAGTTGGAGTGAGAGCAATGAAAAATCTTCTCACACGACCCTTTCCGTGGCTCCCTCCTTATCCGCCCGAAGTCCCCAGAAGGCCTTTAAAGCCAAGAGCAACTATGCCTCGTTAAATTCGGCCTGTGCTGAAGACGAGGCCAAAACCTGCTGGCAGGAGGCACTGGTTTAAAGAGCATCTGCCCCCAGCCCTGAGGCTCTTACCTCTAGCAGGGGACCCAATAAACTGGGAAAAGACCCTGAGCCAGGCATCGTGCTGCCCATCTCAAGGGCCGAGACGGGGTGGTGGCCAGGGGGGCGGGCTGATGAGTCACCCTGCAACCAGCCCAGCACCTTCTGCCTCTGTCCCGGCCAGGGCAGGACACGGCTGCTATGGCTCCCTGCCCAGGGATGGGCTGGGCTGGGGACCCCTCCCTTACCTTGCAGGAGGCTGGGCTCCATCACAAGGACCCCCAAACAGGCTGACCCCCAAATGGGACCAAGGGGACCCCCAAAGGGGCTGCCAAACAGGGGCCTCAAAAAGACCAAGGGGACCCTCAAACAGGCCCCCAAACGGGCTGACCCCCAAGTGAGACCCTCAAGGGGATCAAAGGGGACCTCCAAATGGACCCCAGAGGGGCTGACCCCCAAGGGGATCAAAGAGGACCCTCCAAGAGGCCTCCAAAGGGACTGCCCCCACCAGGCCATGCGCGGGACCGCGTGGTGGGGGAGGGGGGCGCCCCAATGACCTTGGGCCCCGGTTCCCCGCACAGG